AGGGCATGATCCCGGAGGCAGGAGCTGATGCAGAGGCCATGGAGGGGTGCTGCTTACTGGCTTGCTCCCTGTGGCTTGCTCAGCCTGTTTTCTTATAGAACCCAGGACCAGCAGCCCAGGGATGGCCCCACCCACCATGGGCTGGGCCCTTGCCCATTGATCACTAAATGAGAAAATGCCTTACAGCTGGATCTCAAGGAGGCATTTCCTCAGCTGAGGCTCCTTCCTCTGATGACTCTAGCTTGTGTCAAGTTGACACACAAAACCACCCAGCACAAATGAGAAAATGTCTTTGCCTTTGGTGCTCCTCTGCTGGGCATGCCTTTCCCCAGGGACAGAACTAAATGTCTCTGTCACCGTTTTGGTTGACTTGACACAAACCTACACACTCTTGGGAAGAGGGGATCTCAGTGGAGGAATTGTTTCCATCAGTTGGCTGGTGGGCATGTCTAGAGGGGATTTCCTTGTTGCTGGTTGATGTAGGAGGGCCCAGCCTGTGGGTGGTGCCAACCCCTGGGCAGGTGGGCCTGGGTTGTGTAAAATAGGCTGCTGAGCAAGCCAGTAACCAGCGTTCCTCCGTGTTCCTGCCTCCAGGCTCCTGCCTCGAGTGCCTGCCCTGGCTTCCCCTCAGTGACCTATCAGCCAAGTAAGCCTTTTCCTCCCCAGGCTGGCTTTGGCCAGTGTTTTTATCACAGCATCAGATGGCAATTCAGGACAGTCCCTCTTTTGAGCGACTGGAGTGTCAGAGCCCGTTTCCTCCCTGTATTAGTCTGAGTGTATATTGTATGTCTGGTGTGGGTCTACCCACTGGAGAGTATCAATGGGTATAACATGGACAAATGTCTTCCCCCTTCTGGACATAAGCTAAATAACAGCAAGCGGGCCTCAAAGAGATTGTTACTGGAAGTCTGGTAGCCTGAGGAAGCTGTTGATAGGGGATTAGGGAAGACTGTGGGGTATTGGAGAAACAGCTGAGCTTGCTCCGGATGCTGGAAAGCTTAGCATGGGATTCTCTGTAGAAAACAACGCAGGAGTTATACCCTGGCGATGTAGCAGTGGGGGTGGGGAGCAGTGGCCTGGGGCCGTCCTGCTTGCTGGTCACTCCCTGCAGTGAAGATCCAGGGCTCCATTGGACATTGTCCCAAAGCCATCTGTTATGACTTCTTGCTTTCCTGACTCCAGGAGTCCCAAATCCAGGACTAAGCACATCTCCAGGAGAGTGCCAATGTGATTCACGCTTTATATGATAAGATCAGAGACGGAGATACAGGAGCTTAAAGAACGGATTAATTAAAGGACAACCGACAAAAGGAGCCAGACCTGGCTGGGTTTAGAGATGGCAGAGAACTCTCAAACTCAGGAGGGTCCCAGGCCAGAGATCAAGCCAAGAGTGGCTGCAAATGATCCTCTTCCAAGACTCCAGAAAGGCCAGGACAAAGTGCTCTGGCTCTTACTTGTATGTCCTGTGCTTCCATCTAAGGAACAGAAAGCCAAAAGATACCAGGGCTTTGTCCTCAGTCATCGCATGAGCATCAAGGTAACCAGCCGGTAGGAACAGAAGTAAGTCTTTTGGACAGCTAGGCCTCTGGCCTCTTTGGGGGTCCTAGTTCCTGGGCATGGATATTCTTTTTAATCACTTACATAGGACAGGGCATCCCTCCCCTGCCCAACCACTGGGGTCTCTGGCTTCCCTCTCTGTGATTTCTTTCATATTTTGTTTTGCTTTTCTTCTACTGAGTCATGGGTTATTGTTAATCATTTGAGGAATCTCCAATAACTGGTACCTAGTTGTATTTTCAAATCCTTTTTACTTCTGAAGTTTCATTTTAACATCTGGAGCCAACTGCTTAACAGAAAGCAATGTTGGTTGCTTGCTGGTTTTCTGGTAAGTCTGAGTCTATGGCAATAAATACCTCGTAAGCCTCCCAGGGGTGCTCCAGGACGCCAGTGGGACTCTTGTGTGACCTCATTTATCTTAGACAGATTGGTGGGTTTGAAGGAAGCTGCCTTCATTCTTCCTAAAAAGGGCCCAGTGAAAACTGTCCAGACCCTTCCTATCTTGGTCAGTGCTTGGGTCCCAGTCAGGTCTGATAGAAAGGAAAATCCAGTCTATCCAGACAGAAGCACACAGAGAGACATATAATAAAGACAACCAGGAGAGGCCATCACACGTTCATACACCCGAACAGTCCAGTGGAATCCAGTGACATTTCGCATGGATCCTGGACACTGGATCAACAGCCATGTCCATCCTCTTCTTTGTGTCCTAAACAGAAGGCATCTTACTTAGACTTAATTCCAGAGGTGACAGGCCCGGCGATTTTCATTTTTGTTCCCCTTTGATGTGGAGGTGTCAGACTCCTTTGAGGTGTTAGGCAGCAATTGATCAGAGGGAGTCCTGGGGCCCTGGGACCTCTCAGGTTGTGCATCCTCTTGAAGTCCCTTGACCACCACAGTCTTCCCCTCAGAGGGGCTCTGAGACCCCTGGTGTCTCAAGGTCTGATCTCTGCAGATCTCGCTGGGGCCTCCAGATATGTGGTGAGCTATCTACCAGAGAAGACTGCTTGGACAAGAGTTCAAGGCAATAGAAAGTCTTTTTTAGCTAGCTGGTGACTACACAGGATGGTGGGACCCAAGTGCAGTCTTGAACCTTTCTCAAGGTGAGTTTTTAAGCCCCCAAACCACACCCTGGGTCAACACATCTCAGTTACCAAGAACAGTTAGCCAGAAGCTAAAAGGGAGAAGGATGGACTTCCGATCAATTAGGTCTTTGTTCTCATTTTGGCAGGTGTTGTTGCCTACAAGCTAGGTCCCAAGGCCTGAATGGTACTTCCATCATGACATCGGTTGTGTCAAGGTCTGGGGGCTGTTACAATAGGTAACATTGTTGACTTTGGGCTGTTGTCTAAACATGAACTGGCCCTTATAGCCTTCTCTAAGGGCTATAAGTGTGTGTGTGTGTGTGTGTGTGTGTGTGTGTGTGTGTGTGTGTGTACAAGTGTGTGCACCCGTTTGTGCCTCTTCAGAAGTCAGAGTGGGTGTCTTCCTCTATCACTCTCCGTTCTATTGCTCTGAGATAGGGTCTATCACTGAACTGGAATCTTGCCATTTTGGCTATTGAATGGCCAGAGATCTCTCAGGATCCCCTGCCCACCCCAATACTGGGGTTACAGGCATGCAAAGCCATGCCCTGTTTTTCTATGTGGCCACTAGGGATTTGAACTCAGGCACTAATGTTTATAGAGGAAGTGCTCTTGCCCACTGAGCTACATCCCAGGACTCCAGGAACTGAATCTTAAAACTGTTGTTTATTCAGAGAGCTGATAATCAGGAAAGATGGTGGATTAATGTCATAAATATGTCTTATACCTAATCTTCAGCCAGCAGATACACATGTGCACACACACATACATGCGTGCGCACATGCACACACACACACACACACACACACACACACACACACACACACACATTCTGGAGCTCTACTCACCCCTCTGGTCAGGTGGTCAGCCATACTTGAGACTTTTTTTTTTTTCTTTTTTTTCTTTTTTTTTTTTTTTTTCAAGACAGGGTTTCTCCATGTAGTTTTGGTGCCTGTACTGGATCTCACTCTGTAGACCAGATTGGCCTTGAACTCACAGAGATTTGCCTGGCTCTGCCTCCCAAGTGCTGGGATTAAAGGCGTATGGCACTACTGCCCAGCTGTGTGTCGTCTGTCTGTATAATGCAGAATGCCACCACTGCCCAGCTGTGTGTCTGTATAATGCAGAATACGAAAGTGCCCCTGTCTACTCCTTCTGTCCCCTATCAGTCTTGATACAATTTGCTGATTGTAGTTTCAGGGATGATGGTTAGTTTTGTTAACTTGATGCAATCTAGAACCACCTGGAGGGAGGGCCTCTGAGAATTTCTAGGAGGGGATTATCTTAATTATGTTAGTTGGTATCGAAAGACCCACCCACCGTGGGCAGCCTCATTCCCTGTGCTTGAGTCCTAGACTGAATAAAAAAGGAGAAAGCAAGCTGAACATTAGTATGTACGCATTAGTTCATTTGTGACCTCTTCTGATTGTGGGTGTCAGGTGACTTTCCCGCCATAACTTCTAATTGTGGGTGTCATGTGACTTCCCTGTCACGATGGCTGCAACTTGGAATTGTGAGCCCACTAGTTTTTCTTCCTTAAGTTGCATTCGTCAGGGTATTTTATAGTTGTAAACAAAACGGATAGAGTCATCCACTCACGTTGTAGGAGTTGGGTCTGGAGTCTCAAGAAAATGACCACACAATCCAAAGTATTTCAGCAGGACAAAGGTTCATTTCTGCAGAAGGGTGTGCAGCCTTGATTAAACAACTAAATACACTCAGTGGAATCGCATTGGGTTTTTCTTTCTAATGCAAGAGGGTCCTGTGCCTCACTCTGATTGGTCAGGGCTGGGCTTCATTCTTTTACCTGATTGGCTAATTCAAAACAGTGTGCAGTTTCTAGGGAGAAATAACTTAAGCATACATTTTAATTTCAAGAAATGCTGACCCTGGAGGAATTTGAATTTATACTAAGCAACTTCTTTACAATGTTTTTAATGGAGTTTTGCTTCATATAACCCTTTAATAGAAAAGACAGTGCATTTATGTTTTTATTTCTCACCTCACCAGGGAAACCAACCGAGTTTTCCCATCACATCACACAGGCTGGTCCACGTGATGTCCAAAGCCACCCTATCACTGTGTTATAACTGTGACACATGGTGTCTCGGAATGATGATGCCTGCCTTAGGGTTACCAAGACACGGCAACTGTCATAAAGGAAACACATTTAATTGGGGTGGCTTACATTTTCACAGGTTTAGTTCATTATCATCACAGTGTGGCATGGTGGCGTGCAGGTAGACATGGTGTGGGAGAAGTAGCTGAGTGTCCAACATCTTGACTTGCAGCCAGTAGGAAGTGGTCTGAGACATTGGGCAGTATCTTGAACATATATGAGACTTCAAATCCTGCCTCCACAGTGACATATTTCCACCAACAAGACCATACCTATTCCAACAAGGTCACACCTCCTAATAGGGCTATTCCCTTTTGGGGGGCATTTTTTTTCAAACCACCACAATGCCTAAATGTGACCAACGGCGTCTATCTGAGGTGAGGAGCGAGTCCCCGGCACAGCAGCCGGCTCATGACGTCACTCAGCTGCAGTGGCCGTCAGCACAGAGGCTTCTGGTTGTGGGGACTCTGAAGAAGAAGGTGGGTACAGGTGAGTCAGTCAGGCACAGAAACCCCAGACAAAGGAGGCAAGCGCCAGAGTGGAGAGCAGAGGCCCCAGGACACAGCGTGATTTCTGGGAAGCAGTGCTTGGAAATGCCTTGGCTGGGAAAAAAATCAAATGAAAGCTTGCATCCGAGAGTCTGGCTGCTCTAGCCAGGAAGCTGAGAAGGGCTGCCGAGGCCCTCGGCCCCCGGAAAGCACCCTGTGGTCCTGGGACGACTGACATTACCCCTGGGCCAGCTGTTCCCCATCATAGCTGTTCCGTGCCTTGTACTTGCAGCGTAGCCCTGGCCTCCCGAGCTCCTCAGAGAGAGCCAGACGGACGTACAGACGTCGGTAAATGTCAGAGTAACAGAAAGCAGCAAAGAGGGCCCGTGATTAGGAAAAAAAATTCATTCCCCCAAATTATCTCAGAATGTTTTTTTAAACCTTTTTTTTTGGGGGGGGGGAGGGGGTGTTCAGGGTCTCATGTAGCCCAGGTTGGCCTGGAGCTATGCAATCAAGGATGATCCTGAACTAATCATCTTGCTTCTACCTCAGGAGTGCTGAGATCACAGATGTGCTGAGATCACAGATGTGTGCCACCACATCTGGTTTATGAGGTGTAGGGGAGGAACCTGGGCAGCCACTCTACCAAGTGAGCTACAGCCCCAATCTCTTAACATATATATTTTTTAAAACCAACAAACCAAACAACAGGGTCTTGTAGGATATCCCAGGCTAGCCTTGCACTTGAGATCCTCCTGCTGTGACTGCTCGGTGGCAGGGGTCACAGGTGAGTTCATTATGGCCGGCTGGCAGGATGCTTCCGGGTAGCCATCCTTTGACAAATGGAATATAGATCTCTGGAGGGCCTCCTTGGTGTCTCCTGCTGGGATCGCATTGTTATAATCCCTGGCAAAACAAAAGAAACATAGATGTTTTCTGTGGTGAGCAATTCCCCTCAGTGATCTGTTTCTAGAGATTTGCTTTTTAGACTTGAATGGGCAGGTGGAGAGTCTGGGGGTCTGATGAAAATGCTGGGGTGCAGGGCTGGAGTGCTTGCCTTGCACAAAACCCTGGGTTCCATTCCAGCCCTGCAAGCAAGCAAAGGAAGAAGCACAAACAAACACACACAAAGAGAATATGGGTCTCTGCTCTAGCAGGTCTAGGATGGGGCCTGAGAATCTGAATCTATTGTCAGCCCCCAAAGGGCAAATGTGGGTCTCCTGACCATATGGAACATTTAGACTGTGGGGAATTGTTTCCTCAGTATTTTTCTTTTTCTTTCTTTCTTTTTTTTTGTGTGTCTTTTTTTTAGACTTATTTATTTTTTATGTATACAATATTCTGCCTGCATGTGTCCCTGCAGGCCAGAAGAGGGCACCAGATCACATTACGGATGGTTGTGAGCCACTACGTTGGTGCTGAGACTTGAACTCAGGACCTCCGGAAGAGCAGCCAGTGTTCTTAACCTCTGAGCCATCTCTCCAGCCGTGTGTGACACACACACACACATCTATAATGGAAACAAAAGTTTTATGAGGCAATATTGTGTGATGCACCCCAATATTTTATCTTCTATTTTGGACAGAAAGCAAAAAACAAAAACAAGAAAGCAGTGTTGACCACAGAGCCATGAGAATGATTCCATTCTTTCCCATCTGTGATTGTCAAGCTCCAACTGTGAAGCAGCTCAAGAGTGTTCTTACACAGCGCAGACCCGGAGACTTCCGGCTTCACGAATGCGAATGCATTGTTGGCAATAACCAAATTTGACAAAACCAAACCAAAACAGTAACCTGCAATGCCTACCCACAGGAGAGAATATCAATAGATTTGTGGTAGATGCCCACAGGATGGAGACAATGGACACATCTGAGCCCCTGGGATCAGGAACAATGTTACCAATGCATCTCTGAAGCAATGTCAAATGGGTCTCCAATCTTCAAACACTCCCACATGCTGAGATACTGGGCTGAGGTGTTGGATGTGTCTTATGGGGTGGGGGTGATGAAATTGAACCCATGCTGGAGTCATAAAATTCTGCCCATCCCACTCTTTCCCCTGGATTTTTATTGTTTCCTGTAGGGGTTCATCATCTCAGCATTGACATGTGGTTGTGTAGTTGTCATGGGGGCTTTTCTGTGCCTAGAATGGGTTTAAGCACCATCCTAGGTCTCTATGTATGAGATGCCAAAAAATGTGTACAGATACTGCCAGGAGTCTCCAAGACAAAGATGCAAGATCTTGGCTAGAACCTTTAGTCATGAGGAGAAACATGAATAACTTGTGAATGTGTTGAAGATGTTCCATGGAATATAGTTATATTAACAATTATTCATTGCTAATCTGGACATCTTGTCATGTTGCCAATGTGGTGTCTCCCTCCAGGGAAATGCATCTTACCCTTTGCTTAACCACCATCACAAACAGCGATTTATTGAGTTATTCTGAATGTCCCCACCATGCTGGTAGACTGTCCACAACTGACTGCATTTATACCTTGCAATGCGCCACACAGGTACTGTAATAACCTCCAGGAAGTCAGTGGAAGTGCTGGGATTCGAACTCAGATTGCTATCTTCATAAAGATTTCAAGTCGGACGGTAGTGGCACATGCCTTTAATCCCAGCACTCGGGAGGCAGAGGCAGGTGGATCTCTGTGAGTTCAAGGCCCGCCTGGGCTACAGAGTGAGTTCCAGGAAATGTGCAAAGCTACACAGAGAAACCCTGTCTAGAAAAACCAATAAAAAAAAAAATTTGAGCTGGCATACAGTGAGCGACTCTTGAAAACTGAGCATCCTATGGGATCAAGGGAAAACTGTCACTGATGTCCAGACTTTACCAAACCTGGTAACTTGAGTTAAATCTCTGGAGCCTACACAGGAGGGAACCAACTCCTGCCATGTTGTCCTCTGACCACCACATGGGTGCCATAGCAGGTGTACACACGCATGCCCCCCCCCCCCCGCTCCCACAAACAAATAAATAAATAAATGTAAAAACAAAAATAAAGAAAGAAATGCCCACTAGGTGAATGAACGCTCCTCTCCCGCCAAAAGTACTACCCACAATCACCACCACTACGGTGTCACATTTTTCCAGATTTACACGGCGTGGAAACATTTTCACGGATCACCCATTATCATCACAGGAAACGCTGCAAAGCTACATTTGAAGAATGAGGAGTAGACAAGCATCCAAGCCAGGCAAGCGGGCTCACACCTGCAATCCCTTGGGAAGTGGATATAAGAGGACCGAGAGTTAGCCTCAGCTACAGAGTGAGTATGAAAAGCCAGCCTGGGCTACTTGAGATCCTCTCATCAAACACAATTGGAAGTTCTTAGGCGATAGCTCTGTCAGTAACATGCTTGCTCGACTTCACTGTAAGACACCATCTGACCTTGAGGCTAGATCTCCTGAACAGAAAGGCACCCTCTTTCTCTTAGACTCCTCTGTCTCCTGCCTGTTCTCTGCAGTGCATTCCAGGACAAAAAAAAAAAAAAAAAAAAAAAAAAAAAAAAAAAAAAAAAAAAAAAAAAAAAAAAAAAAAAAAAAAAAAAAAGTGGATAGATTCTGGCAGGAAGGCTGAATGCCACCCAGGACACATTTGATTTTTAGAGAAAAAAACAAAAACAAAAACAAAAAACCAGTGTTCATCTCAAGGATGCTCAACAAGTTGGCCTGTGCCGGGGGATCAGAACTCATCGATGGTGGGCTAATCAAGAAAAAGTAGACACTCAAAATGTGTTATTCATCCCTCCAGGGTTTCTTTTAAACAGGAAGACAGCAATGGGATTTGCCGGCTAACCTCCTGGTGGAGGGAGAAGGTCCTCTCTGGAGCTGAGACACCCTCCTGGGATTCCCTCACGTCTTTAAAACTCCCACACTTCTGACAGCCAGCTCCAGTCTCCTCAGCGTGGAGCCCTTTAAAACATGCCCGTGGAGTCACCTGAGCACCGTGCTCTTGCAAATTTGAGAATTTTCTTTATTAATTTCTCAAGTTTTCACCCTCCCCCACCCAACACCCCAATTTGACAACATTTCTTCAAAACTCATCTTTCTCGAGTCATTTTAAAGCATTTAACTCAACATTCATAGAGACAGTGCCTCTCTTTTTAACACATATTTTACCTGAAGTATTTAATTAAACTCTGCTTAGAACAAAATGTAAGAGGAAAATTCCACAAGCACATGCCAGATGTCTGCCTGGCTCACCGTCACTTCCTTCAGATTTTTGCTCAAATGCTACTTTATAGGAGAGGTTTGTTGACTCTCTATTCAAAACCCAAACCCTGTCCCTTCATAAATGTATGTTGAATGAATGAATGAAGGTTCCAGGCTGTGACTGGGGTCCAAAGATGATACCCAATAGGCTGGCAACATCATATTTTAAGGGAAGCCTGTCTTCAAGGTCTAGATGATGTGGGTTGTCTTTCTGTATGCTATGAATATGTGTTGCTAACATTGGTTAATAAAGAAACTGCTCTGGCCTATGGCAAGACAGGTTATAGCCAAGCAGGAAATCTAAGCAAAGATACAGGGAGAAGAAAGGCAGAGTCAGGGAGATGCTGAGTGCTGCCAGGGGAGCAAGATGTAATGGAACACAGTTAACACCACAAAGCCATGTGGCAAAACATAGATTAATAGAAATGGGTTGAATTAAGTTGTAAGAGCTAGTTAATGATAAGCCTGAGCCATAGGCCAAGCATAAGCCTCTATGTGTTTACTTGGAACTGAGCGGCTACGGGACATGGGAAAACTTCTGGTTATACTTAGAGGCTGACCAAGTGAAATACAGAAGAGCCTACTACGCTCAACTCCCACCCCATCCTCCTGCACCTTTCAGATTATACAGGGACACAGTCTCTCTTAATCAGTGTGGGGATATTTTGAACAAATAAAATTTGCCTGAAGATCAGAGGACAGAACAAACCACTAGATTAAACATAGAGGCCAGGCAATGATGGCACACATCTTTAATCCTAGCACTCGGGAGGCAGAGGTAGAGATCCATCTGGATTTCTGTGAGTTCAAGGCCACATTGGGCTGCATGAGATTATCCCAGTTTAAAAGAGAAACAGAGCCAGGCAGTGGTGGCACACACCTTAATACCAGCACTTGAGATCACACACTTTTAATCCCAGCACTAGGAAGGTGAGACAGGAAGTGATATGGCTTGGCAGAGAAAGAAATAGAAAGTAGGAGGAGATAGGAACTCTGTCTTTCAGGCTGAGGAGTTTGTAAGAGGTGGTGGCTGTGGCTTGCTATGCTTCTCTGATCTTTCAGCTTTCACCCTGATGTGTGGCTCTGGTTTTTTTTTATTAAAAGACCAATTGGGATTCATGCCACAAATTAGGGTTTCTATTGCTGTGAGGAGACACCATGACCATGACAACTCTTACAAAGAAAACATTTAATTGTGGTGGTTTACAGTTTCCGTGGTTTAGTCGTATATCATCATGGTGTGACATGGCAATATGTAGGCAGTCATGGTGCTGGAGAGGTAGCTGAGAGTCCTACATCTTGCACAGGCAACAGGAAGTGGTCTGAGACACTGACTGCAGCTTGAGCATATATGAGATCTCAGAGCCCGCCTCCACAGTGACACACTTCCTCCAACAAGGCCACACCTCCTAATAGTGCCACTCCCTTCAGGGGCCATTTTCTTTCAAACCACCACACAGTCAAAGCCTGAAGAGCAAAGTTCTATGGAAACAGGTTATTGTTAACCCTTCTGCAGGGTGAATATGGGGGCAATGTCTACTCAGAGGCCACACAAGGAGGGATTTCTCTCTCTGTTTTGGTTTCCTATAATGTTCCCAGGTATAGATTTCTTGCCCTGCTCGGGGCTTGCATAATGTTTTATTTATGTCTACAGCTTGATGGTTTTTGTCGGAGTTTTCAGCACTTACTCCTACCACATTCTCTTTCTCTTCTCCTCTTGGGACCCAGGTTATGCCTTCTCGTTGTGTTTGTTGGTATGTCCTCTGTCCCACCGGGCAACATTCTCTTCTTGATTTGGAGAATTTCCTCCTGACCCATCTTCCAATTCACTAAGTCTCTCTTCAGACTCGTCTAATCTGTTGCTCAGCCATCTGCTGAATTCTCAACTGAAGCCATTTTTTTCCCCTCATGTCTGAAATTCCCCGGTTGCTTCTTTGGTTGTTTCTAGTTCTCTACTCAACATCCCACTTTTGTCTTTTATTTCTGTCAAGGCGGCAGGGACAGTGAAAAGCACACCAGACCGGGGTTGGAAAAATGGATCTTTAGTTAAAAAAACGTCTTCTGCTCTTGCAGAGAACAAGAGTTTGTCCCCCAGCACCTTTATCAAGTGGCTCACAGGTGCCTGTAACTCCAGCTCCAGAGACCTTGGTGCCCCCTTCTGGCCCCTGTAGGTACTGCATTCACATGCGCATACACAGACACAGATGTGCATGTGTGCTCACACACACACGAAATTAAAAACTAAATAAATCCTTACATGCACACCTTAGACTCACATTAGCAAACTTTCCTTGTAGAAGTCATCCGAGGCCTGTATAGTGGCTTCTTTCAAGTTGCTGATGGAATGAACAACCGGGAGTCATCTGAACCAAGTTCAGGCGTTTGAGCAGGTCAGTGATGAGCTGTGGTCTCTGCTAGAGCTTGGCTCCTCCCACATCACCCTTCCTTCTAGAATTTGGCCTTTTAGGATCCAAACCAAAAGTCAGGAGAGTGCACAGGCCTCCTCCCCTTGGCCAACCCTGAGTGCCTCCCTCTGCTCTTGCCCTGGAAAGGGCCTTGAAATGACCCTGACTTCTTAGCTCTCCATTATAATCAGGCTTTACAGATGTTGGTGTCAACTCTCTGGGCCTCTGGCATCCAAGGTTTCGGTGAATTTTCCTTAGGGGCTCTCTGGAATCCTAAAAGGTTGTAAGGTGGAGATGTACGTACATTCCACTGGCCATGTCTAGTGGAAGGGCTGGTCTAAATCACCTTGGCTGGCATTGTCAGCAGAAATTGCGTCATTTCCCATGTGAGAGTCTGGTCTAGGCTGAGATGAGTGAGGTATCCAGGGGCACAAAACTGAAAGGGATGCTCACACGCAGGTGTCTACAGATGCAGACCTGTTCTGAGAAGGAGCCTATCACTGCAGACCTGCTCTGAGAAGGAGCCTATCACTGCAGACCTGTACTGAGAAGGAGCCTATCACTGAAGACCTGCTCTGAGAAGGAGCCTATTACTGCAGACCTGTACTGAGAAGGAGCCTATCACCACAGACCTGTTCTGAGAAGGAGCCTATCACTGCGGTTTGTACCCCCCACACCTCATTTGCCCTCTTTATCCCCACCCTGACCTATCTGGGCTTGCAGAAGTTTACATACCTGGGCAGACACAGCTCTCTGAATATGTAGTTCTTAGAAACTGGAGGGGCTGGGGAGACAGCTCAGCTGATAAGTATATTGCTGTCCTGAGTTGGATTTCCAACACTCACCTAAGGACTGGGCCTGGTGGCATGTGCTTGTATGTCCCTGCAATCTCAGGACAGGGGAGACAGAGACAGGAGGATCCCTGGGACTCACTGGCCGGCAGTGAGAGACCCTGCCTCAAAAAAATAAGGTGGTGAGTGATAGGGGGAAACACCAAATGTTGACTCACACAACCACATGTGTGCACATACTCATGAACATGCACACGCATGCATGCATGCACGCACGCACGCATGCATGCAGAAATTAGAGACTGCCTATCTGAGTTTTCTTGACTATTCTTACCAAACCAGTCATTGCTGCTTAGGTGACACTAAGTGGCTGCCGTGGATTGCCACACCTAACCCTACATGGTGGGGCCACTCAGAGCCTCCTGGGGCAGTTCCTGCCTAAAGCCCAGACTGACTTTTGCAATTCTAGAGCATGCTACAATATAAAACCTAAACTAAGGTCGTAGTTGACACGCTATTGCTGTATGCCCTCTAGGCTAGGCTGCATGCCTATAACCTGAGCATCCAAAATATGAAATGTAAAAATCAGAGCCAACGTGACGCTATGAGTGGAAAATATGAGACCATGAAATTTTATTTCAAAATCATTACAGACACCACGTACAATTAATTTTGCTTTCATGTCATTCAAATAAGGTGCATTTAGAATAAAAGCGAATTTCATATTCAGATCTACTCCCCCCAAGACACCTTATTAACAATATGTAAATATTCTAAAATCTAAAATGATCCCAAGTCTGAAACACTTCTGGCCTCATCAAGCATTTCTTTTTTTTTATATTTTTGGTTATAAGCCTAGCCTTTAATGGCTCAGCCGTCTCTCCAGCCCACACTTCATATTTTAAGACCATTCGATTTTATTTTATTATGTGTTTGACTGTGTCTGTGCATGGGTGTGTGTGAGTACAGGACCTTGTGGAGTCCAGAAAAGGGTCAGATCCCCTAGAGCTGGAGTTACTGGCAATTGTGAGCCGTGGTCCCAACCCCAGCCCTCTGCGAGAGCCAAACATTCCCTTAACTGCTGAGCCATCTCTCCAGCCCCTAATCAAGAATTTCAGACAGGAAATGTTTAGCCTGTATATGAAAAATGGCTAGATGAAGTGTTCTCAGGCCTTAACACATACTGGGCATCGGCACCACAGGCTGAGGCTGTCTCCAGTCAGAGCTGCGAGCTGCTTTGGGAGGAGTAAGACACCGCCAGCCCCTTCTCTGTCCATCCCTGGCCTTTCTCACATGCCCTGGCACATGGGAAAAATGACCCGAGGCCTGTTTGCAAGCATGCCAAGAGTCCAGACTACAGTTGGGCCACATCGGTATGCCTGTTGTTACCAAGTCAGCAGGGGCCCGTGTCCACAACATGGTGCCCAACTCCTATTATTCACTCTGTCCTTCCCTGTCCTGCTGTGCCTATAAAGTGATTTCTCAGCAGGAGCTTGGGACAGGCTGCCAGGCTCAGAGCAGAAGGCAGCCTGAGGCTCCCTTACTGCATGAGGTCCCGGCTTCCAAAACAGACACCGAACAATGTCAAATGTCAATGTCAAATGCCTGGTCCAGGACGTCTGGGTGTTGCATTCATTATTCCTTTATTCAACAAAGATTTCCCAGGGACCTAGAGCTGGCTGGGCCTGTGGGGTAGACATAGACAAGATCTCTGCCCTCTCGGAGTCTGCACACCCGTGGAGAAGATGAACACACTGACCCATGGGGTGGTTGAGTGTGTGTGAGATGTTATCAAGAGAAGAAGCAAGGCTTGTACTGGCCACTGAGGGAAGTGATTCAGGAGCCATCACTCCATGTCAGGACAGGAGTCACTGCACCACACAGGGGCCAGCCCACCAGGCAGCGGCCCCAGCCTAAGGAGAGTATGCTGTGTGTGAGGATCTTGTGTCATGGTTTTACATACATGACCACTACCGGACAGACCAACGTAAGGGAGGAGACGTTTCTTTTGTGAGTCTGAGGAGAGGGGTTGGTCAGTAAGGGACCTGCCTTGCCAGCGTGAGGAATGAGTTTAACCCACAGAACCGCACTAAAGAAGAAATACAAGCTAGATATGTTGGTGCATGCTTTGTGGATCCCAGACAGGTAGCCTACTTATCAGACTCCAGGTCAGCAAAAGACCCTGTCTTTAAAAAAAATAAAAATAAAAACAAGGTAGACAGAGCCTGAGTGACAAAACCCCAGGTGTCAGCTGGGCAGTGGTGGCACACGCCTTTAATCTCAGCACTCAGGAGGCAGAGGCAGGCAGATCTCTGGGAGTTCAAGGCCAGCCTGGTCTACAGAACTAGTTCCAGGACAGCCAGGGCTGTTACGAAGAGAAACTCTGTCTGAAAAAACAAATGAAAAAACAGACATCAGGCCATTGTGACGCACGCCTTTAATCTCAGCACTCAGGAGGCAGAGCCAGGCTTTGTGAGTTTGAGGCCAGCCTGGGCTACCAAGTGAGTTCCAGGAAAGGTGCAAAGCTACACAGAGAACCCCTGTCTTTAAAAAAATAAACAAACAAAACAAAAAACAAACAACAACAACAAAAAAACCAGGCATCCCCTGGCTTCCACACACAGGTGACCAGGCAAGCATGTACACACACACACACACACACACACACACACACACACACACACACACAGACTTGTTTTGCTTATGACTTCAGGGGGGTTTGTAAGTTGTGGCTCACATCCTGGTGAGGGGGTGGGGAGGGAAGGAGAGGAGGTGTCCCTGTGCATTGTCTTTCTCCTTCCTCAATTTTATCCCACACAAATCCTCAGCCTAGGGGAGGGTGCTGCCCACCCGTCCATCCGGCCTGGAAACACCCTCACAGACACCCCTCAAAGCTCTGCTCTCCTGATCGTCTACGCTCTTCAGCCCAAACAAGTTGACGGCTGAGATTCATTATCAAAGCTCTATAAAAGGCAGAGCGGTCAGAAACCCAAACAGGCTGGAGGAGGGAGACAGGGGGAGGTTAGGGAGGCGAGCTGGACCAGGGGGTGTAAAACATGACCTGAGTTCATATTCAGAAGCTCGAGGAAGAGTCCTCAGAGGGCGGCAGGCAGAGGCGCGTGAGCACCTGACTCGCATTTTAGAACGATCACCAGGGAAAATGGATTAGGAAGAAACTGCGCAAACGAGAGGAACCACTTAGCAATCCTGCACCGCGCTTTTCAGCCTTTTAGGAATGACCCCTCCCCCCCAAAAAAACCCTTTTCTCTCCTATCTACCCATATGTCTGCTTTTGTAAAGCAAACACAAAAAAAAATCCATCTGGATGTGACGGCAATGTCAAATTGCTATAAGAACTTCTGAACGCGAACTCCGGGTTACTTACTCACTGGGGACCACGGAGAGTATGTTGCTGTCACCTGTATGGATGACACTTTCACTAGCACGTTGGTGTAGCACAGTCTTGGTCCCAAGAAAGCTCAAAGAAGAGTCTCTTGGAGCTGGTGAGAAGGCTCATAAGGTAAAGGCGCTTGCTGCCAAGCCTGATGTCCTCGGTTCGATTCCCGGTGTGTAATGGAAGAAGACTGACCCCATTAAGGTGTCCTCTGACCTCCCCATGCTAAATAAACAAATAGTAATAGTTTTTAAAAGATATATTTTTGAACCCAGTTTGATATGGTATGTTTGACGTCTGTTTGGCCTGATGCGGAAGGAATGTCCCCAGCTCTTAAGATAGGACACAATTTGCTGCTTATGTACACTAGGGGTCTACTCTCCCCCAGGTCCCTCATCCTACCCACCTGCCTGCCTGCCTCCAGAGGGATCATGCACACGCCAGTCCTGTGCTCTGGTGGGAAGATCTTAATGCAAATGAGCTGCCCCACCCATCTGTGGTCCTCACCTGGAGAACTCATCAGCACATCCTCTGTTGCCAAGTCTCCCACCCTGGAACCTGCCCCCTATGGGTGTGACTATTCTTAGGCATGGGGCATCTGGGTGCTAGAGGAAAGGTAGGCAAGCATAGGCCTGGGAATGAGTCAGCAGCAATTTTACTGCATGATCTGGGTTCCTTCCTTGAGTTCCTTCAGAGAAAAAGGGAGAGAGAGGGAGGAAGGGAGGAAGGGAGGGAAGGAAGGAGGGAAAGAGAAGTGATTGATAGATGATGGATGGATGAACAGATGATGTATAGATAGATGACATATTGGTGATAGATGATTGATTGATAGATGATCAATAATAAATGGATAATAAACAAAAAGATATAGCAATGATAGGTATAGATAGATGATTGATAGACAAACAGATGGTAGATATATTATAGATATATGATTAATAGTCAAATAGATTACAGAGATCAGTGACTGACTGATAGACAAATAGGCTAGATAGATCAATGATTAATTGATAGATAGATATAGTTAGATAGATGATATAGATAGATAGACAGACAAGTGATAGATTCTGCACCTTAACAGAATCCTAATTCACTACATCCTCTCTCTGAGGAAACTTCACAGTTGTGTGTCTCACAACCACCACTGACATTTGGTCCCCTTGGCACTTGAAGGAGCCAGACAGAGCATCAGAAAGGACTTGTGGGTTCCCTCACCCTTAGATGCCCACACTTGAAACAAAGTCCTTAACGTTCAACTTATGGGAGATGGAACAAACTCTGAGTTATACCCTCTCATCATTTCAACCTTTCCTTCTCCCTCCCTCTCTCCATCCCTCCCTCCCTCTGTCTCTCCTTTTCTTCCTCTCTTCCTCCAGGGACAGAGTATACCCTTTGAAGGCACATCCCTGTTATCCATTCCCTCCAACTCATCCCGTCTCTGAACACCTCACCGGTGTGTTGATCCTTCTCAGTCCTGTCTCTGAATACCACTGCCCTGCATACCAAACATTCAGTGCATGAGCTTTCGGGAACATTCCAGAACCAAACCGTAGTGAGGCATAATTGTAGAATACTCTGGCTGCATCTCCCAGGCCCAAGAGTTCTGAACACGGGAAGTCACAATGGCTAGAATGAATGGCCTGTTCTGAATGCTCTCCTGACAGTCTCTGGGAAAGGATGGGCCTTCTTGGTTAGGTGGAGGATGCTGGTGGACCATCCAGCAGGTCCCTACTCTAATCTCTGCCATTTATAACCATCAGGGAAAAGCTGAGCTACAAGGAAGGATGCTGTTCTCGCGGAACCACTGGCATTTGAGCGTCTGAAGGAGCTGCCAGCCCTGAAGGTTTGATGAATGGGAAGTCTGGAGGAGAAGGTCTGAGTTAATTGTTCATTGTATCAAGTAATTACACAGCACTCATTCATCAACACGCGATGAAAAGGGGAAAGTCTGATCCGAGATGTGGACACTTGAGCCCTTGGTTCTCATTCATAACCCTGGGCAAGCAGCCTCCCTGTTCTGGGCTTCCCCAGCCGCCTACCCCCATGTAGGGAGACCATACAGAGGTTCCCCAGCCTGGATCCTGTGTATTTCTTGGAGAACAATCAATAAGCCAGGCATTCTCCATGAATATTGTTGGAACACACATTGGAGAAGAGGTGCCTAGCTTCCGTCAGATAGATCCACAGAAGATCCTGTGGCTTAGAAAACATAAATGTCACTGGGAATGAGATGGAGATGGACACACAGAGGAGCTGAGGAGTGGGGCTGAGGGGTGTGGCTGAGTGGATGAAGCTGAGGGGTGGGGCTGATGGGTGGGGTTTGAGGGGGTAGGGCTGAGGGGCTGAGGCTGAGGGGTGTGGCTGAGGGGTTGGGGCTGAGAGCTGGGGCTGATGGGTGGGGTTTGAGGGGGTAGGGCTGAGAGCTGGGGCTGAGGGGTGGGGCTGAGGGGTGGGGCTGAGAGCTGGGCCTGAGAGCTGGGCCTGATGGGTGGGGCATGAAATGTTTTATCTTGTTAGACCTGGCCACAACTTGAATGTGTCTTTTCCAAACCATGAACTGCTACTTTTTCTTTTCTAAATCAATGTGTCATGTTTTTGCTTAAAAGAAGAGAAGGAAATGGGGAAAGGAAGGAAAGACTGTAACGGCACAGACATGGGAGATCCAAGATGGCCTGCACCGTCACTGACCTCATTGCCACCGGGTGTGTGTGTGTGAGTGTGTGTGTGTGCATATGTGTGTGTGCATGCATGTGTGTGTGCGTGTGTGCGTGCGCATGTGTGTGTGTGTGTGTGTGTCTGCTGCTGCACAGGCCATACTTTGAACAACAATGAATAAATCTGGCTACTCCATCTGGCACGTTCCCTTTGGAGCCACCCAGTGTCAAAGCTAATCTGGACACGCCTTCCAAGGAATAAATAGTCATGACAGGATGGAAAAGCACACACTGAGTGCTTGACCCATACCAGACACTACGCTGAACATAGCTGCGCTACACTGACTCGTTTATACTTCGTAGTACCCGCTGGGGTGGTGGCTCAGTGGCTGCTTGCTCTTCAAAGTCACGGCGTGGTGGCAACTGTTGGCTCGATGTGTGGAAGGGGCTAGTACTACCTTTCATCTTAAACAGACGGGAGATGCTGGCTTCTGGAGAACCCTACTGTGTGAGGGGCTAGGCATGTAGAGACAGAGACAGCAAAGAAGGGACAGGGTGCTGTCTTCAGTGGTGGCAGCATATTAGCTAGAGAGACACTGTCTCCCCACCACAGCACCTGCTCGCTTATCTCTGGCAGCAGCTCAGCATGCACAGGGAGCGAAGAACTCGATGATGGATTACAGCACCCTGACCCCCATATGGTAGCGGGGAGATGCTCCCAGCCCACACCTGTGCAGGGAAGCACCCGGGAAGGTGCCGTGCCCAGCTTCACGGGGAGACAGCATTGGTTATAAGGGGAAAGTCTGGCAGGGGCAGAACGTGTATGTGCAACTTGGAATATCACCGAGGACGTAGCGGCAAGTGTCTTCCCTCCGCGTGAGCCTGGAAAAATGGCTGCACCATCAGGACCCATTTGACACTCAGCAAAGAGCAGGTGGCTCCTGGCTCGCCTTCCCTTTGGGGCTGCTTGAAGGTTTCCCAAATGGCCTTGTGTGTATTTCCCACACTTCTGGTGGCAGAAGACAAATCTGGATGGAACCCAAAAGGAGATTTTTATTCTAACCGCGCTTGTGATCTTAGGTGCATTCAAAAATGAGGCTAGTGACTTGTTCTCTCCCTTCCTCTGCTCCCTTTTACCTGGGTACCAGGGACAAGGCTGTGGGTTGGTGAGGCAAGCACCAGAGTCTGGGGACACTGCCTGCGGCGGGGCACTGCCTGGTAGGGTGGTCAGGGTCAATCTCCCTAAAAAGGAGATAAGAGTGTAGATGAGAGTTTAGGGAGGGGAGTCCTAGAGAGATGGAGCGGCTGGTACCGAGGGCCACATGAGGAGCAGCGTTGGCACATTCAGGGGACCGAGGGAAGGCTGGGGCAGCCGAAATGTCACATAGAGGATGGTTCAAAACCAAGTTTCATAAATGCCAGTGGCCAGCAGAAGCGAGACCACACGGGACTGCGAAAGGCGGGAGTTGGAGACCTTGGGGGGAGGGGGTTCACCTAATACAAAAGGGAGCTTCGGAGTCTTAAGTGGCTGAGTCACACAGTGTCACACTCCCGGCTACGGCTACGCAGAATTTAAGTGGGAAGAGCCAGGAACCAGAACAACAGCACAAACACATATCGAAACAATGCAAGAAAGGATGATGGAAATAAAGACTTTAGCTATTAAAAACACATGCAAGAAAATCATGGTGATTTATAATGGCCTCAGACCACCCACCAACTGTAAACCATATAAAAAAATTTGTATTAAATTCATACAACGGACTACTACACAGCCAGGAAGAGGGTAGACTGCCACTATCCACAATAACATGAAGGGACCTTCCTGACATGATATGGAGACTACAGAGTCATAATGGTCTATTCTGTGTGATTCTGTTTACAGGAAGCTCTGAATGGACAAAAATAATCCTTGGTGAGGGGGGAGGCTATAGACACCCCAGTATCCTTGGGGTGACTGTGATTGAGAGGCATAATGAGAGTCTGCCAGGGGCTAAGGGATGTTCCTGCACATGATCCATGGCGTGGTTGTGTGTGATCAGACATAAAATCTGCACATCTGTGTCCTTCAGATCTATGCTGCTGATAGCAGGCATTAGACCTCTATTTTTAAAAGAAAAAAAACATTGAAAATGAAAAAAATGAAGGTAGAAGGGTCAGGCTGTCAGCCATGCATAGAAAGAAAAGGTGCAGGGAGACTCGGAAGGCTAAGCCCAGCCGTCCCTGAGCAGTTTGGAAGAGAAATTGGTCTCCCGGGGCCGTGGCTGCTCATTTTCTAACCTGTGAGCAGGACATTCTCTCATAGCATCTGTCACAGCAAAACCAGGGCGGGCCCCGCGGCAAATGCGGCCCAAGAGAATTTCCAGAGAGTGATGGAAAGTTCCCGCATGAGTCCTGCGTGGCCGACTTCAGTTCCTAGGCAGAGCTATGGGAACCAGAGTGGCAGGTTCACAAGGGAACCCTCCACATTGTCCAGGGAGCTGCTGGCAGCACTGGCTGGTTCTCAATGCCTTTGGATGTCTGCTTCCCAGCATGCCTCACTGGAAGGGCTGGGGAGCCACAGGGCTGAGGCTAACCATCTCTTTCTGGACAGCACAGCGGGTCCGTGCTCTAAGCCACACCCACAAGGCGGCAAGGGCTGGTTACCAGACGCAGTCATGCAAAGCTCCCGCTCTTCCCTGCACACACACACACACACACACACACACACACACACACACACACACACACACACACACACACATTGAATCATAAAGTTCACTTAGAGATTTAGGGAAGCGGGTATTTAAGTACCAAAACAAAAAAGGAAATTATATCATATACAATGTAAAAGCTCCCTTCTCACCCATCTTCTTCCCTTCAACGATAAGCCTTGGCTGGAGATGTGGCTCGGTGGGCCCAGTGCTCACCTAGCATGCAGAAAGTCTTGGGTTCAAGACCCAGCTACCACCTCCATCCCCTTGCCTTCGGCCATGAATTCATTTACATTCCCCAGAGATATCCTCGGTCAGGATCGTCCCAGGCATGGAATCATAACGTGGGTTTCTGTGGCTGACTTTCTCCACTTAGCACCATGCATTCAAAGTTCATCCCTGGGGTTCCAAGCGTCAGCACTCCGACTCATTTCCTGGAGTGGAGCCAGCCTAAAAGAGAAGCTCTGAGTGACTCAGGCAGCCGGGCCGGAGGGGTGGGGCTACATAAGCTCTTGGTGGACAGCCTCTGGTCTTGTTTCCACTCACTCCTCTGAGGATGCGCATTGGGTAGTTCTGAGTTCCGACTTGTGATGGAGGCCGCCATAAACATGCACGCAAGTGTTTTATGTGGGTGTCTGTTAGCGGGGCACTTGCTGTATATCTGGCAGTCACCATGCTCTCTTACTGCACAGAATTTTATTTCCACTCATTTGAAAGACACTTTTGGATTTATTTAGACATCACTGTGTATCACATTCCGGACCATTCTGCACACACATTCAGGGAAAAGAAAACAGAGGCAAAGTACAGTTGAGCGGATATTCCAAAGTGCCTCATCTTCCTTTACTCCCTTCCTTCCAGGCTAGCATTAAACTCACTACATAGTTGAGGATGACTTTGAACTTCTGATCCTCCGGCTTCTGCCTTGAGAGTACTGCGATGAGGGGTAGGCATCGCCATCTCCAGTTTATGGCTGGGGTCAACCCCGGAGCTTTGAGCACGCTCAGTAAGCATGCTACACACGGAGCTATGCCCCAGCTTCAATGTCTTCCATACAGAGAATCATTATATAGCCTTGGATGGTCTGCTGCAATGAATTACATAACCCGTATGTATATGATATAATGTAGTACTACATTACTTGTAGTAATCCTCCTGCCTCAGCCTTTTGGGCGCCATAATTATAAGCGTTAGCCACCACATCCAGCCCCCCAAATGACCATCAATATGTGTGATCGAATGAATAGTCTAACCAATCCTTTTTTGGTCTCTACATAATAATCTTTCAAATCATAGTTTCCAAGGTTGACATTTCCCTGCAAGATATTGTCCTTTGCACCACAAAGGACATTAGAGACCTATGAATTCTCAAAATGTAGCCTTCCCAATTGTTTTCTGTTGAGGCCACCCTGGTCCTGGCTGCTGCTGGCCTCCAGCAACTTCACCTCACTGCCTGCTGTGAGAAGCACCCCAGTTTCAAAGAAGTTAGTGTGTCAGAACATGAGTCTTAAATTCATGAGCAGGGCATGGCCCACACCTCAGTCCCAGTGTTTTGAAGGGTAAGGCAGGCTAAAGGCAGTCAGTTGTCATCGATTTCCCTGAGTTAAGTCCTAGGTACCCAGTTCCTAAAGGGGCATCCCTGGCCCCTGGCACCCAGCACTCTGAGTCATGTTCCTGACTATTTTAGGCAGGTGACTCACCTACTACCCCACAGGGTGGTGGCCTAAAGGAGGCGAGTCCTCCTGTAGGCTAGCGTCTCACTGCCATCTGTGTGCTGCTACCTGCTCAGGTGTATTTGGCAGATGAGCTCCCCATCCATGGATATGAAACCCCCCTCACTGGTTAGCTGGGCAAGTCTCAGGACGTTTCTCACCTACATAATCTCATCCGTTAACTGGGGGCGCCAGTACCTCCCCCCCGCCCAAGGCTACTGTGAGAATGCTTCAAATCACCCTTTTGAAGCCTGGAGCTCAGCTAGTTACCTCAAAGAGGACCTTGTGACCTCTGGTGCCTTCCTAGCCAAGCCTGCCTTCCAAGATGGCCGAGAGCGCCGGCAGGTTCTGCCCACTGCAAGAGTGAACCCACAACCCAGTGAGTGAAGTCAACTCCTCCCAGATAAATAAACCATCACAGGAGAGCCACGTGCATCCCCACCGCATCCATGGGGCCTGAATTATATATAACAAGGCAGTGGAAACAATTTATCCTCGACACAAGCAAGTCAAGAACAGGGAGTGTGCTCAGGCACCAGAGACAATTTCCAGATATTGCCAGTTTTATCAAAGCAATAAGGCCCACCCAAGGAGCATGCCCTGTAGCGTCAGGGAGGCCTTGATGAGGATTATTTATTATTGGGAGAGAGTAATCACATGCTTTCCTCCCATTCTGACACCTCCACTGCCCATTCCCTGATGCAGCTGCTTCTGAGCTCAGAGGTGAATGCTGGTTGGGGCTGCTACCAGCTCCTGTCCTCCTTCTGAGGGGCTGCAAGAGGGCTGGGGGCGGGTGTCCACCAGCTTCCGGAGAGACAGAGGAGAGGAGAGGATGGAAGAAGGGAAAATGCTATCCATGCTGTTTAGGCAAAAAGCTCAGAGGCAGACAGACAGAAAGACAGACAGACAGAGAGGTGAGAGAGCGAGAGCGAGAGCGAGAGAGAGAGCGAGAGAGAGAGAGAGCGAGAGAGAGAGCGAGAGAGAGAGAGAGAGAGAGAGAGAAAGAGAGAGAGAGAGAGAGAGAGAGAGAGAAGAGGAGAGGAGCTTGAATAATAACCAGCTCCATCAGAACTCACTAAGCCTCTGTCACCCATGTCCGTCTTAGGGGTACAAGTGTCAACAGTCTGTACCTATAACCCTCTGCATGCCTCCATGTCTGTCTTGGCTCCTTTCCCTGTTTTGATAAAACACCCTAAAAAAAAAAAAGCAACTTGAGGAAGGAAGGGTTTTCTGGGCTCCCAGTTCGGGGTTACAGACCCAACCATGGCAGGAAGTCATGGCAGTGGGAGCCTGAGGCAGGTAGCTGCATCACATCCATAGTCAAGAAGCAGAGAGCCACCAGCAGTTTAGGACACTCGCTGCTCGTCCAGAGGACCTGAGTTCAGTTCCCAGTACCCATGCCAAGCAGCTCACAACTGCCTGTAAGTCCACTTCCAGGGGGATCCAATACACTTTTCTGGCCTCTGTGGACACCAGCACACACATGGCATTTACACATGCGGACACACACATCCTCAGCGACCACCTTGTCCTCAGCAGAAAGCCCCTCATCGGTCCTCAGGTCCCCATGATCTCCTGTGTTGGGTTCAGAGGAGTGTGGACTGTGTGATGATTCCTAATGACCCATCCCAGAGAGAGGAAGGGCAAGTGTGGAGCAGGGTGTGGGGAAATGACGCTGTGACCTCCATGCCCCTCCCTACCCAATAAACAGCTGGGTAGCATCGCAGGCCATCTGTCCAGAGTTGGGCTGGGATGTCTGGGCGGTGCCCAAACCCTACCCCGCCTTAGCCTCTGGCTGCAGGTTTCCCTGGAACAGACATTTAAGCAAAGTATCTCTCTGCAGATCTGGAAGGAAAAAGACAGCATGGGGGCAGGGAGGAGCTGTCTGCTAACATCCTCTGTGAAGCTGGACAGCAAGCCCTTCCCTAGGAGGTGTGCACGGCCTCTCTCCAGGACTGTAATGGCCTTATCTTGCCTCCTCATCCCGATGGCAGCCTCCCTGGGGTCTGGAAGCATGTCCGGTGTATCTGTCCTTCATCCTGTCCCTAATGGTGACCGGGATGCCACTACACCAGTGAAAACTCAATGAATCACGGCAGAGTGTATAAATAGAGCTGTAAGGGTGGTTAAGTGTGGCTCTGGGTGACCAGGCATTCTGACCACTTCAGTCACGACACAATGTCTGTAAGCATAAAAATAGCCATGGATCAGGGAACACCGGTTCTAGCCAGATACTGTGCTAAGCAGTTTCTGTATATCAGCACTCTGGGTCCTAACAGGAGCCTTGCAAAGCAGGTACAGGCTTTTTCGCAGAGGGGATGCGCAACCTACAAAGTGGAGTCCGCCAATGATGCAGAAGTGGGCATTGCACATCTTTTACAGCTCTGCCTCGAGAATTCCACAGCCCCGAGTCCCAAATACTCTACCTGACGGTTAATACTGTCAACTCTGCAGGATCTAGAACTCCCCAAGAGATGAACCTCTGGGCATGCCTGTGAGGCACTACCTAGATAAGGACAATCGATGTGGAAAGACCCACCTTAACTGGGACTTAAGCTGGGACCCTGGAATGAACAGAAGGGAGGAAATGGGCAGAGCAGCAGCATCCATCTCCTGGCTGTAGACACAATGTCTTCAGTCACATCCCACTGCTGCCTCCCTGCCAGGATGAACTTCACCCTCAAAGCTGAGTTTCCTCCTTCCTCAAGTTACCTTTCCCAGGTATTTTGTCCCAGCAACGAGACAAGAAACTAATATGTTCTATTTTCCAAAGTAAGCCAGAGGGGGAGCCTGGCCTGGAAAGGGAAGGAATGAAACCCTGCCTTGTGATGGGAGGTTGAGCCACCCACCACCACCATGATGGACCCGATAGAAGTACATCTTCAAGATCTGCTCTCCACACTGCCACCGGAAATACTCAGAGCAAGCTTCCTGTCTGTTGGAAAGGCTTTCCCGGCAGCTTTTGGTCCTCCATGGGTCATGGTGGACACCATCTTTCCTGAAATATGCCAATGCATTCGACTAAGTGACAGCCAAGTCTGGCAGGCCTGGGAGCCACCAGCAAGGTGACTTTGTGTTCCTTTGCATTGATCCAGAATATATTGACTTCAGGATTTACTTCTCAGAAGTCGGGCTCCTCCTGTTCCTTTTTCTTTTTTTCTTCTCCTTTATTTATTTAGAGACAGGACATCATTTATCCCAGACTAGTCTCAAACTGGGCTGTGTAGTTAAGGGTGACCTTGGACTTCTCATCCTCTTGGCTCTATTTCCAAAATCCTGAGATTACAGGCTTGACCATCACAGTGGGTTTATATAGCGCTGGGGGTGGAATCCAGGGCTT